GGTCCATGAGCCCTCGAAGCAAAAGGCGTCATGCTCTCTTCGAACTTGTGCCTTTTGGAGAATATCATGATGTACTTCGAGAATTGAACTTTGAAGTCATCTTTGTCGTCATTGGGAGTTAATCTTCGAAGCCTAGTGCCTTCGACTATCCTATCACTTATCTCAGAATCTTGCTCATCAATGGTGTTGGCGGTTGATAAGGAGGGTTCGAACATGGCATTTAGCCATAGTTGGAGTAACCAAAAGGGGCCAGCCAATAGAATATTTTTGGAGGTGTGGGATTTGAGGCTCGAAACAACTGACCTCAGGCTTTCATAGAGGTCAACTAAGAGCAGTTCACTTAGGCACACTTTTCGATTTTCATGCAAGTCCCTAGCTAGAGGAATGAACCTACTAGCTACCTGTAGGGATCTACTGCAGAAAACGTATCTTGACAGCCACAGGGTTAAGAAAGCAATGTGCTCTACGTCAGACACATTGTCCCCCTCAGCATGGTAATGACTGATAAATTTGGAAAAACTGGCTAGCTTGACTTCAAAGTCAATTATGCTTGAGTGCTCTTCGTTGTCGGGTATATAAGTTTCTCCCACTGGCGATAGCCCAGTGATGGCCGCTATGTCGAAGAAGGTTGGGGTGATCATTCCACCTGGGAGATGGAAAGTGTTATAGGTACTGTCCCAGAAATAAAGGGACGCGAATAGCAGAGGGTGGCTGTAGGTGAAACCAGGCTTCGATAGCTTAATCAGGTTATAGATGCCTAATTCTTCCCATTGCTGGGATTTCTTAGCTTCTACTTTCGTGAACCAATTTCGGTAAGCAATATCAGAGGTGGGGCAAGATCGAAATGGCTTAAAATTACTTTTTACATAATCCAAAACAAAGGGGTCCTTAGGAGGAACAGTTGGGGTTTCTATGGTATTTGAACTAGGAGATTCTACTGCCTTAGGGGCGTCCATTTTGTTAAATAAGGGTTTGAAGCTATAACAAACTGGGAAAATCGTCCTGGTGTCTTTTAATATTTCAAAAACCGTAAGAGGGCCATTTAAAGCTAACCTCTTACCAGCAACGTTGGTAGGAATGAGTACCTGTGACGCATACATCATTTCTTTTTCTTTTGAAATCATCTGAGGGGCAAGAACGGATTGACCTTGGAGAGTGATGATTTTACTTTCCATGGTAGCTCCTGCAGTTTTTCCTTTCTTCTTGGAGACTTTCTTGAGTTGGGATGAAGTAGAAGAAGACATTTTTGAAAGATGTTGAAAGCTTGGATTGTTTTACGAGAGAAGGAGGGTAAAAGATTTAGAGTGTAAAAGATTTAGAGTGTGAAAGATTTAGAGTGTGAAAGATTTAGAGTGTGAAAAGAAAAGAAGAAGATTAAGTTGATGTTTTATAATGGGGAAGTTTAAGCATCCACCGAATAAAGGTGTGATACGTGGAGATCATGGGTTGGTGTGATGAAGAGGTGGCGTAAAGTTAACATGGGTAATAGGCGTGATTTAAAGATAATCATTATTTGTAACTGCACCACGCTGTGAAGTGGCTCCAGGCGGTTAAGGAATCCAAAAGGTGCTATGATTGACGTGACTGGAGTCAAATGCATTAAATGTTACGATGATTCGAAAGTCCCATCAAAATCTTGTGTAGGTGTTTAAAATAGGTATTTCTCAGAGGAATCGAAATACATATTTTAAAGGGGCAATTTGTTGGCTGAAGATTTTAATAATATTATTAGAAGCCAAATGAATTAAACGTTTTGATCGAAATGAGGTAAAGCGTCATGTTTCGAAGTAGCAGAAGCAGTGTTTCGAATAAGTGTGTCAAAGCTTGGAGCTTCGAGTGGCAATTATGGGAACATATCTAAAGAAGTCTCGAAATAACAACAAGACTGTGTCTGGGAAGAGCATTCGAAACGGAGAAGCACCAAAGCATTTGAAATTCAAATGGAAGCGGGACTTTCGAAGTTTGAAAGTTATGTGTTGGAGCATTTGGGGACACGTGGAAAGATGAAAGAGGCATTGTCCTGCATGTTCTAAACGTGGCATAATCCTATAGCAAGACCGTTATGGTCGAATTAGTATAAATAGAAGTCTTAGTATTAGGATTTCGTGTGTCATATCTAATATACAAAATACTCAGTAACATTCAAACTACCACATGGCAAGGGAAACGAATGCAAGAGAAATATATGTATGATAGCACCATGTATTTCTGATTTAATGAAAACCTTTTACCATTTCCAGTACTTTCCTTTATCCCTTTTGTCAAATAACATTTACAAGTTTTCTTATTTACAGTCTTTTCACTTCGAAATCCCTTCTTCAAAGTTTTACATTTTAATGTTTTCTTCATATTTCAAGCACTTTATATCTCAGAAAACTATCATATTTTCCATACCTTTACCTTCAAGCCTTAAAGTCAAACCTTTTACATTCCAGAAATCCTTTATATTAACTGTTTTGTAAGTCGAAACCGTTTACTTCACTTTTATGCAGTTTTACATGTCTTTACAATTAGCATTACAATTAGCATTTATTCATGTAACTTAGTTTTCACACACATTTTGATTACATCTTTAGACTTTTAGAGAGAGAAATCGAAATAAGCCAAACACATATACAATATCAACCATGAATATCTGTTCGATCGTGAGAGTAACCTTAATATCCAAGGAGTCCTAGGATCAATCTAGTCGATCCTGTGAGTTACCAGAGGAATTGAATAACAGTCAGAAAGATTATTCGATAGTTTGGAAGACTAGCGGTTGTTTACCAGAAATCACTGGAAACACCTATCCCATAGATCCTCGCGGAGATCCACAGAGATCGAATCTTAAGAAAATTTCTATATTTTTTTAATCAAAATTATGATACTAGTATTTGAAGAGTAATTATCATAAGCACAATAAACAAATGGGAGTGATTGTTGTGATGAAGATGAGAACCGAAAAGATGATGAATGAGGGAGACAAAGATAATTGAGAAAATAAAAGAATACGATTTATACGTTCTATGTATTTGGTGCACTTTTTTAGGGTTGGATACTTGGGTAGTGAAACAATACATTATATAATAAAACAAAAAATAAATAAAAATGATTCACTAATGACTCTTCATTTTTTTAATATATTAATATATTTTTTTAATGTAAAATTATATAATTATATATTATATAAGAGTGAGGATCAACTTACTCCAAGAGTAAGCGTTTTAATATATAAAACATAAAAGTTAAATAATATGGTCGGGATCGGGAAATCCATAGGGCGGAGGATATTTTCCAATCCCCGTCTCAAAGTGTCATTGGAGAAACTTTTCTCTTCATCTTCATCCCTACGGGAGAAAAAAATCCTAAATTTCAGTGTTCCGAACAGATAATTTGCACATAGATCCCCGTTAACAGATGTAAATTGACATCCCTGGTCAAGCTAACTTAATCAAGATTTTATGGAACTTGAGTTACAAAGTGGATAACTTTTGGATCAAGTGGATCTATGCCAATTGCATAAAAAATTGACATAATGACAACACCGATTATGAGAAGTTGTTCTTGAATTTTGAAAGCTATCTTCAAGAAAAAGGAAGTGGTACAATAATTACAAAATAACAAACTATAAAAGATAATGCTACAAATTGTACATCGAAGAAAAGTCCTTTAGCCTGGTTTTATAAATCGCATGTGTATTTAATTATTTTTGTTTAATCAAAGTATATTTTATAATTAAAATAAATACTTTTTAATTTTTTAAATCCTATATTTTTTTTAGATCGCCTGTGTATCTAATATATATATATATATATATATATATATATATATATATATATATATATATATATATATATATATATATATATATATATATATATATATATATATATATATATATATATATATATATATATATATATATATATATATATATATATATATATATATATATATATATATATATATATATATATATATATATATATATATATATATATATATATATATATATATATATATATATATATATATATATATATATATATATATATATATTAACAATATCATTTTATTTTTTGGTTATATTATTTATTTTAATTATTATAAAAATTATTCATATTATAATTAGATAAGTTTAGTACTATTTATTTTAGATGTTATACATGGTGTTTTTGTTTTAAATATAAAAAAACTAACAAAATATTCGTACATCCATGTAAATTTATTTAATATAATATATATTTTATTTATATATACATATTAATTTGAAATAAATTATTTATTTATAAAAGAAACAATGATAATATAAATTTAGACAAATAAATAAAAAAGAGCCCATAATATAGAGAAATAAAAAACAAAAATTTTGATATTTAAAAATAAAAATTTTGTATCTCAAATAAAGACAATTGTTATTTTAAATAAAATAAGTATTATTACTGATAGTGACTAGTGAGAAATAGAGAATTTTTGACATTTTAAAATAAGAATTTTGTTTTTCAAATAAAAATAGTTATTAATTAAAATAAAATACGTATTTTATTGATAGAGATATGAGAAAAAATAAATTTTGACATTTAAAAATAAAAATTTTATTTTTAAAATAAAAATAATTATTAATTAAAATAAAATAAGTATTTTGTTAATAGTGATAGGTGAGAAAAATTGAAATTTTAATAATAATAATTCTTTAAAAAAAAGCAAGAATTTTGAAATTTTAATATAAGAATTTTGTATATGAAATAAAGTAAATTATTAATTAAAATAAAATAGGTATTTTGTTGAAAGTGGAAAAAGAGAAAAGAATTATTAAATTTATATATTGTAGATTGATTTATAGAGCATTAAATATTTAGTAAGAAAAAAGAAGTGTGGTTGGAGTTGGAGGTGCAGTATCGATCCGCGAAGGAACGACGATTGCGCGGCTGCGTGAGTCAACTGGCAGGGTGAATTATTAGAAATTACGATTGGATTTGTGGCTACGTCCATCGCGGTTTTGGTGTAGGATCAGATCGATGGTGAAGGAGAGCGAGTACTATGACGTGCTTGGTGTGAGTCCAAGTGCATCCGAAGCTGAGATTAAGAAAGCTTATTACATGAAGGTACTACTAACTAGATCTTATTTCTTCTCGCCTGCCGCCTGGATCTGTTTATATTCCTTGTGTTCATTCATTCTGTGCAGGCTCGGCAAGTGCATCCGGATAAAAACCCAAACGACCCTCTTGCTGCTCAAAATTTTCAGATTTTAGGTGAGGCTTACCAAGTTCTCAGTGATCCACCTCAAAGGCAAGCTTATGATGCACACGGAAAATCTGGAATCTCAACTGAAGCCATTATTGATCCTGCTGCTATCTTTGCCATGCTTTTTGGTAGTGAGCTTTTTGACGAATATATTGGCCAGTTAGCCATGGCATCCATGGCTTCCATGGACATTTTTATTGAGGGAGAACAATTTGATACTAAAAAGTTGCAAGACAATATGCGGGTATTACTCTCTCTACTATTAAATGCCTTCCATTGACATTTTATCTTTTAATACATTTATTCTTCCCCCAGGTTGTTCAGAAAGAGCGAGAAGAAAGGCTCGCAGAAATACTAAAAAACAGACTCAACCAGTATGTCCAGGGAAACAAACAAGACTTTGTTAATCATGCAGAAGCTGAACTAGCCCGACTATCCAATGCTGGTAGGATGCCCTAACAATAATTCCAGGATATTAACTCAATCTTTGACCCGATCTCACGTATTTGAATACTTAACTCTTATGATTGTAACTAAGCCACTTTTCCTTATACAGCTTATGGGGTTGATATGTTGAACACCATTGGCTACATTTATGCAAGGCAGGCAGCAAAAGAGCTAGGGAAAAAAGCTATTTATTTGGGTGTGCCTTTTGTTGCCGAGTGGTTTAGAAACAAAGGACACTTCATCAAATCTCAAGTTACAGCGGCAACAGGTGACTCAACTTTGTACTTGGAAACTTGAAAGCCTTACACATCGCATTTTCTTGATGCTTGTGTGGATCAATTGACCTTTGATATTGTTGAGATGTGCACTGATTTAATTCTTTATTATTAAGATATACTCTCCCTTTTACACATTAGTTCTTTCCATGCATATAATTCTGATTTTATCAGGATTGACATATGATTGATTTATTCCAGATTCATTCCCTTAATTAAGTGATTCACCTTGATTATAAGAAATTAGTTTTGATTATAAATATTATAAAGTTGAGAGATAATCTCTTTAGCTATTCAGGGCCAAAAGTGTAATTCAAAATTTGAAAGCCTTTTCTGGTTCTGATGTTTTTTTATTCTAATTTCCACCGAACTTTCTTATATAACAGAAATCTTACTCTTTACTTTTCACATTGCATGTTCTCGAGGCTTTCGTGGCTCTAACTGACCTTTGGTATATCTGCTTTGTGTGGTGTACTTTGCTTTTTCAATTTCAAGTATATCACATCCTTTTGATAGCCGTCCATTTCTCTTTTTTTTTATAAGTTAATCGTTCCAAGAAAATAGTGACCTTACCACCTCTTTTGAGTTCATGTATTCTACATTTTCTGAATTTCTTTGAGCAGATTGCTTTATTCATTTATCAATCTCAAGGGGGTAGATTTGTGCTTTCTAGTCAGGACTGCATTGTTGTGCGGGATTATATACTGACACTGAAGTGTCATCAGGAAAGTAGACCCAGCCCAGGGTTGAGAAGATGAGAATTTTCCAATGGACGAGTAGAGTGAAAGTGAGAAAGTTGGGATAACACCTGTTAGAATATGTGAAAATATCTTATAATATATTTTTAGTGTATCTTTGTTTATCTTGTAGAATTGATTCATTATCATAGATTATCTCTTAAGACCAGTTTTCATATTTCTTAGCTATTAATTATTATCATGATTTGTTTTTGATTTTTCAATTTATTTTGAATGTAGAGTCTTTTGTATCAAGTTAGTCATCAATCATATTAACACCGTAATCATATTTCAAATGTCTTTAGTCTTTCGCTTCTCATTTTATCTAAAACTCATAACTTCAATACGGTATAAGAATAGTACCATTCCCCGTAACCTGTCTTATAGTTCCTCTTCCGAGTTCCCCTAAATATGATGTAACTCAAATAATATTGTCAGCGATACATAAATTCCTGCATTCTCTCTGCTGTTGTATCATCCTAAATACGGTCTGTTTGTGATTGATATTGTTCATAGAGGCGGTCTTTATCACAATAAGGTCTCGCTTGTTCATCACTTTTTATCTTCGAGTCTTCTAAGACCATTTTTCCCCATAGTTTGCATATCCCGTGTGCCATTGCCATGAACTCTACTTCAACACTAGATCCGGATACCGCACTTTGTTTTTTACGCTTGCAAGTCACAAACTTCCTTCCAGGAAAGTGCAATATCCTATAGTTGATATCCTATCGACAATTGACCCTGCATAGTCATCCACAATTGGCCCTGTATAGTCAACATCAGTATATGCTTTAAAAAAAAAAGTATATGCTTCCAAGACTCACACTTCCATTTTGTTCAACCAAAAATTCCTCTACCTGGAGTTCCTTTCAAATATTGCTCAATTCAGAGGGCAACTTGAAAACGTATCTCCTTTGGTTTCAACTTGAAAATGATTCTCCTTTGGTTGGTGCATGAATTGGCTGACTAAGCTTACAGCAAAAGCAACATCAGGTCTAGTGTGTGATACATATATAAGTTTTCCGACTAACCTTTGATACATTTCCTTATCATCTGCAATATTTTCTCATGCGTTCTCCAATTTTACACTTGGATCAATTGGTGTACCTGTAGACTTGCAAAAGTTCAATAGTGTGTTTTTGTTGAGGTATGGAGATTCCTTTCTATAAGTGGGCAACTTCAATACCAATTTTTCCAAAATCTTAATCTCAAATTCATTGGTTAAGGGCTTGCCTAAAACTCGTTGCTCCTCTTCATCATTGTCATCCACCTAAACCAATAGCACCATTACTCCCCCATGTCAGAACGTTCGATAAATAGAGTATGGTCTCCTTGGCTTTGTTTGAAGCCCAAATCTATCATAACTTTAGTGAATCCTCCAAACTATACTCATGGTGATTGCTTTAGTCCGTATAAAACCATTTTTAATTTGCACAGAATGTTGGTGGCATTAAGTTCACGATATTCAGGGGTACATCTATGTAGATGTCTTCTTCAAGTTCTCCGTGAAGGAAGACATGTTGAAACATCAAATTGGTGTAAGTTCTAATTGTAATTAGCTGCCAAAGATGATATCACCATGACAATATTTATTTTTGCAATTGAAGCAATTGTCTCTGAGTAATCTACTTCATACGTTTGAGTGAATTCTTTGGCAACCATTATTGTCTTGTACCTCTCAGTAGATCCATCAACTTTGTATTTTACAGTGTCATACCTATCTGCTCCCTATAAGTTTCTTTCCATTTCGCAGAGAAGCTGATTTTCAAGTATTGTTCTTATCCACTGCCTCCATCTCCATGTCCACAACTTGTTTTCATTTTTTTGTGAGATGCCCCAGATAGAGAGGTTGTATTTTTATAGTTTTGGCTTGTGAGGAAGATTTTATGGGTAGGGGAAGAATGTTCAAACCTTCATAGTTGGATAAAGATTAAAATGGCCTTTTGGTACATGTTTTGGTATCTTTTCTAAGTGCAATTGGAAAATGTAAATCTATGTAGTGTAGTGTTGGTATTAAGTTGGATTTTGGTTCCTGTTCATGGAAAAATTCAAACATGAATTGCTGTTGTATAAAACTTTTGCACTATAGGCTGATAAATGGTTTTTCTTTATGGTTCAAGGGGCAATTGCTTTGATCCAATTGCAGGAGGATATGAAAAATCAACTCAGTTCAGAAGGGAACTACACTGAAGAAGAGCTTGAAGAATACATGCAATCTCACAAGAAGTTAATGATTGACTCTCTGTGGAAGCTTAACGTGGCTGACATCGAGGCCACTCTTTCCCGTGTGTGTCAAATGGTTGTTGTTGCTAATCCATTGTCACATCTTTAGATTATTTAATGTAGATTTTGGTGCTAGTTTTTTTTTAAAACTCAAGTAGTGTGTTTCTCTTTAGGTTCTCCAAGACAGCAATGTCAAGAAAGAAGAACTACGGGGACGAGCAAAAGGGTTGAAAACTCTTGGTAAAATCTTCCAGGTGGTATTTACTTCCCTACTCTAAACGTAATTGTTAGCAATAGTGTTAGTGTACCCTGATGATGAAATGATGTTTAACTCGCAATTTGAATGTAGAGGGTTAAGACAGCTAATGGGAATGAGGGTGAATATATACCAAACAAAGAAATGCATAAATTGAATGGAAGTGAAACTAGCAATGGCGTTTCTTCTCCTAGTACATCACCCAAATCATCGGGTCCTGATTTTTCAACTCAGGCTGTATCGCAGGTGCAGCATTTCTTGCCGACATCTATCTTGTTTTTCTTTCCCAGCCATATTCATGTCATTATATTTATATTGTTTCATATTAAATAAGTCTTTCTTGATATGATGAAAGTTTATTTATTTTGATACAAATGAGTGTAGAGCCCCTATGTGGAGGCTCCACACTTTGCAGGCATGCAATTTGACTACAACTTCCCTAGGCCAACCGCCCCTCCAGGTGCCCACAGACCTGCTCCAAATAGCAAGGATTGATGTATTTTTATGTATGTATTAATCTTGTGGTTTGTTGAATATGTTTTCATAAATGTGTGCTGAGGACCGCATCTGATCCGCCGCATTGTGCAGTGTGTTTAATATTTCTATACATAGATGAGGGATGATAGTTTGGACTTTGGAGTTGCTAGCTTGGCGTTGATTGGCTGCCTTGTCACTCAAATTGTGTATTTTATTAGGGTGTTTGCATGCAGGTTCATTTATTCCTTTCAAGGGATAGTGATATTTCAATTTTAGTAGAAATTTGTGTACACTAATAATATTTTGGTCTCAGTTTTTAATCCCCTAAGAATCCACCGCCAGTTTATTGGTGACACGGCAATAGGGCACTGCTGATATGTATAGGCCAAATACTTATTAAATATAATCACTTAATAATAACAACTGATTATATCTATTTTTTGATTGAAATAATAACTAATTATATTAATTTTAACAGTTGTCATTAATGTCACAAATAGAAATAAAACAGCATTTTATTGTTTATTCTGGTATTCTATATCCGTGCCTCGAATAAGAATAGCATTAACCCCTAACCAAATATCCCTGAATTCCTCTTTCAAAAAGCAAATAAGATATTCCATAAAAAAGAATGGGAAATTTTTCCCCACCATTGTGGTGGCTCTGTTTACTTCTAATTTTGATAAATAATATTGGTCTCTTAACAAAAAGTTTACCGATGAGATCGACCAGAGAATTTCAGTACGGTGCTTCAGTTTTTGAGTATTTTCACCAAGTATGTTCAAAAGGATTCATTCGACTGTTGCCAAACGAGTTTATAAGTGATAAAGTAAGACTTGTAAAATAAAACAAAATGCGTTTTAAACTGTAAATATAAATGACATAACATTAAAATAGTTGAAAATAAGTTGATTTAAACATATATTGTCCTAGCTTGACTCATTTTGTTCGTTCACTTGGGTACTCTGAGTGACTAGCGTATAAGAATGTGAAAGTTTGAACCCCTAACACTATGCACTTAGTGCTTTATTTATAATACACAAAAGTAACTACTTTCTAGTGGACTTCGTTGCTTCGTACGCCACGTGTATCTTGTAACTCCTTTCCATGATCCCATGTTCTCCATTCGTACTCTCGAACCCACGTTCTCCAAGTTTCTCTCCAAAATGCTTCCCTTGTTTGATGGATCTTTTGGACCCTTTTGACGTTTCTAGGCCCAATGAATTACAAAATCTTTCCTGGTCGAGTGCTCCTGTTTTCAGGCCCAATCGCTTATTTGTAGAATCTCTCCAGGTCGATTGCATCAATAGTCGACCACTTTATAGAATCTCTCTAGGTCCTAGGTCGACTACATCAGTAATCATGTCACATAAATCATCTTTTCTAATAAAAATCCTTTTGATCCTTTTCTTTTGGTTGGATTTTAGTCTCTGTCGAAAATCCCAGCCAACAAATTGCCCTCCAAATGTCCCTTTCGACTGAAAAGGATAGAAATTGATATTTTAATCCTTCTTACTTAGTACGAACTGATGTCATCGTAATCATGACCTTTCTCTGAAACATCACGTCTGCGAACAAACGACCACTATCCTACTTTTAGCTTCATCTTCCCAGGATAAATGTGGCCCTCAACTCACCAACTTCTTCAATCATCGACACCTGCCTAACACGTGTTGATCGTGTAGCCACATCTTTTTCCCAAACTTTTGGTTTTCTTGATGGTATAAATACTATTCTCATCTCTTCACTTTCCTTTTTACGTTCTCTCTGTATTTTCAAACTCTCTATTTCAATCTTAAAGACAACTTTTTGTTTCCATTTCTTTTTTCCAGAAAAACTTTCAATCATTCTCATGGCCACTTCAAGCCAACTTACTGAACACATTCAAACACCTGATGAGATTGAACTAGTCTCCCACATGGATGATTTCTTTGTTGATGTCCAAAACACTTTTGTTTTGGAATCAACGCCGTCACGAAACCTTTCAACTTTTTTTCTCAAGTGTTTCTCCCCTTCATCTGTAAGCGAACCGCTTACGCTCTTTTGGGGGCCTATTCCTGATGAAATCAGAGCACCTAAACAACTGGAAGGTTGTTTCCCTACTCATAAGGTCACAAAACCTCATATTAGCAGAGATTACCCCATAGATTTTTCGCATATTTACCGAACTTCTAAGATTTTCCGTTTCGCTCATGTTGTCAACCAAGATTATATTGCATGGTTGAACAAAGTTGAGAAAGTTAAAGGTGGCGTTTGGAAAGCTTAAGGTATTTTTGATTTGATTCATCTTTCTAGGGTTAGCCCCAGTTACTATAATTACATGCTGATTTCTGCATTTTATTTTTGGGAAGGCTCCATAAACACCTTCCATTTTGCGACTGGTATGCTTACCCCTACCTTATTCGACGTTGCGACCATTATTGGCCTTTGCCCCACATGTGAAGTTTTTCTTCCTACTGAAGCTGACAAAAATGTCATCCCTTTTGAAAAGGACATTGATGGTTTCACCAAATATATGGAGCATTTTCACGCTAAAGATGTCGTCACTGTGTCTGACGAAGAGTACATTGCTTTCTTGGATTTGTGACTTTTCAAGTATGTCTTTTACAGTCGATCTTTGAAGGTAGCTAAACGGTTTATTACATTAGCTCACCAACTTCATCTGGGTCGAGACATATGCCTGAGAGAACTTATTTTGGGGTCTCTCTATGAATCACTTAGCGTGGGAGTCAACCATATGACCTCACTCTCTCCTACTGCCATATATATGCTTGCTGAGCCTTTTTGGTTGCTTCAATTGTGGTTAAACGCCACTTTTGTGAGCCAACTTAAACTACGACTTTTCGAAGCACAAGAAAATGCATTCGCTCAACGTGCTAACGAAAGCCTTCGTCTTGCTGCAATGTCACCTTCCAACAATGACATGACTCGAGAGGATTCGCTTGAAAAATACTTGAATTTTTTATTTAGGTGTACTTCTTTTCAACCTAGCATGGCTCCCTATGCTTCCAGACAACTTGGTCCCGAGTGGTTTACTCGACCATTTCTTCTCGTCGATCCTACGCAACTCCCTGAATCCTATTAGAATTATAATTTGGTTAACTGAAGTCAACCCTATCAAACTATTTGCTTATTTCTTTCGTATATTACAATTATTATTATTATTATTATTATTATTATTATTATTATTATTAATAATAATAATAATAATTATTAATATTATTAATATTATTATAATTATCGTTATTATTATTATCACTATTATAATTATTTTAATTAATTATTTATTTTAACTATTATAGTTATATTTTATATTATTGTTTTTTTAATGTTTGACTTAGTCAAAATAAGATTAGGGCAACAAACCCTAATCTTCATCGCTTCCAAACCCAAACGCGCCGCTGGCCTTGTTCTTCATCCTCATTCCTAAGCCCAAAAACGCATATCCAAACTCAAATCAACAACAGTTACTGTTTGAATCAATTTTTTTCCTTATTACAAACAAATCTTTACAAAAATCATACATAATCAAAATAAAATCTAATTTCAATCTCTAATCTCTAAATCTAACTTAAATCAAACTAATTTCTAATTTCTAATAATCTAATTGTAACGATAATCAAATAAAATTTTCCTAATTTAACTAATCTAAGAACACTATAAATAGACCCTAATTTCTACAAGAAGGGGGACACCAAAAATCTTTACAAGAATAACAAGAGGGTGAGGAGGAGCTTGACGGAGTCACAACAGAAAGAAGGAGAAGAAGAAGATATGGGTTTCGAAGTCCGAAACCCTAGATCTGATTGTTGCCCGCCATGCTCCTCGCCTTCAAACGCCGCCTTTATCTGCAAAATCAAACAGAGGAGAAGAATCAGAAGGCAAAATCAGAAAAAAGAAATACGATTCACGACCAAGACGAGGTACAAAACACTTAGCTTTTGCGATTTTTTATTATTTTTGTTTCAATAAACCGTTGAAAGATTTAAGGGTGAGGGTTATAAATTAGGGAGTTGGAGGGTTGGACTTTGGGGAGTTAGGGGGAAGATCATAGTCGTCGCCGTCTGGATTAGGGTTGATGTTGTTGTTTGAGAGAACAAAGAAGAGAGAGTGGCGAGAGGGAGAGAAAGAATGAAACAGAAATGAAAAGAAACAAAAATATAATACCCTCGCGATCCCGTGCCTGCGTCTTCATGTCCTTATCATACACCTTCACCCTCTATCCCTATGATCTTAATCAAACAACCATGATCTGCAACCCCGTGATAACACCATAAACCTCATCACACACGAAACAAACGGGCCTCCACCAACATGTTTATGGACTCGAGCCCAATTTATAATCACCCCTTGTTTTATTTTTTACTTACTAAGGAGAATACTATACCCTTTAGATCATGGACCTAAATGTAATATGGGCCTGAGCCCCTTCATTATTCATACCCCTCTAAGATTGCTGCATGACTAAAATGACACCCCCATGCGTTTTGGGTCAAATCCAATATCTGGATTTGGACCCTGACACTCACACCCCTGGTTTTTACTACCCAATACCAATTTACACCCCCTGCTATTTGAGCTCAAATTTTCTTTTGGGCCTAAATATCTTTCTAATGCACCCCCGATTCTAATACTTACACCCCCCGCGCTTGAAAAAATTAATTTTATTTATTAATTTTCTTAACCTTAATTTTTTTCTTCTTATTTTGTTTAATTTGTTTAATTACCATATTTTTTTTAGCATTTGCATTAAATATATTTGTGCATTTAAAACCATTAATAAATGATTATTGTATTCTGATTTAAAACATCTAACATATTTTTAATAATTAAAAGTAATTGTTCATTAATCTTTCTAAAAAATATTAACCTTTTTATATTTGCATTAAACATTTTTCTCATGCATTAAAACCTATTTTCTCAGATGTACATCATATATTTGAAAACATATAAACCATCAAATACTAACTTTTTCTTACTAATCTAATTCAAACTTATATATTTTCAAAAAAAGGATT